TACGTGTGTATGTGAAGTGGATACATATGTGTCTGTGTCATGTTTGATGAGTAAAGAACACTAATGGGCTGTTCCAGCCTAGTGGACTTCACATGACCCCGTCCAGTTCAAGACTTCATCCCTTTTCCCTGCGCCTCCTCCAGTCGAATGTGACCACTGTCTTTCCTTCCCACCTCAGGTCTCCAGACCCAGCTACTGGTAGAAGTGACAGGGCTCGTCTCTAGACAGAGCCCTGAGGCCGGCCGGCCACACTTTTCCCACGTTGTCCTTCGAAGGGTCCCCCAGGGCACTCATCTGGGTCGGGTGCTCTTAGAGCCTGTGGGACCCCCTGAGCGAGGCCTCCTGGCTGCCTCGCTGCCACCCACACTGCTGTCTGGCTCTGCACCGTTCTCCCTGGAGCTGCTTGGCCAGGACGGAGGCGGGCGGGACCTGCGCAGGACTGCCCCCCAGCCTTGCTCTGTGGCTCCTGTGCTCCTGGAGGTGAGAAGTGCCGCGGGCGGGGCTGGGGAGACCAGAACCAGCTCTTCTAACCCGCCCTTCCCTGCAGCTCAGTGGCCCGCCAGGTTCCCTGGCTCCTGGCAGCAAAGTCCCTCTCAGCCTGCATGTTGCCAGCTTCTCTGGCCCCCAGGATCTTGATCTTCGGACTTCTGTCAACCCTAGCTTCTCGCTCACCTCCAACCTCTCCAGGTGAGATTCTCCCGCATCCACCTTTGCTTGGGTTCTGGCTCCACCCAGTCAGTTCTGTAGGGACCAGGGCGCAAGGGCTCATCCCAAGCCCAACCTCTTGGCCCTCAGTCCTCGACCCCAGCCTTGGCTGTATCTCTCCCCGGAGCCTCTGTCCACTCTGCAGGGCTCGCCTGGGACTGAACGAGTCCGCCTGGGGACGCCTGTGGCTGGAGGTCCCGGATTCAGCAGCCCCCAACAGTGTGGTGATGGTGACTGTGACTGCGGTGGGCCAAGGAGCCAGCCCAGGGCCCCCGACCCATGCCTTTCTCCGGCTCCTGGTGCTGGCCCAGGCCTCGCAGGTAAGCTGCCTCCGCTTTCCCTCTTAGCTGCCAAAGCTGGGCACACCGTAATGTCCCCCTCTCTCCACAGGATCAGCTGGAAACCCCTGCCCACTCCGCTGGCCGTGTGCTGCCTCCAGCCACCCCTACCCTGCTCTCTTCCACTTTGGTGACTCAGGGCAGAGCTGGGGGAAGGGTGGTAGGCAGAGCCTGGTGGGGGACACTTGGAGGGGCGCTGTTCCTGCTAGGCTGCTCGTCCTGGTGACAGCCCCTCAGGGACTCCTTTCCAGCCCGCACTGTAGGTAGGCTGTCACCTGGCCTCAGGGCCCTGCCCTCCTGACTGCTTCGGGACTTTCTTCTACACACTTGTCCCTTTGCTTCTTTTTTTCCCAAGACAGGGCTTCTATGTGTCGCCCTGGCTGCCGCAGAACTTGTGCTGTAGACCAGGCTGGCCTCGAACTCAGAGACCTGCCTCTGTCTCCTGAGTACTGGGATTAAAGGTGTGCGCCACCACCCACTGCCAGCTCCCTTCTCTTTCTTTTTTTTTTTTAAAGATTTATTTATTTATTATGTATACAACTTTCTGCCTCCATTTATACCCACACACCGGAGGAGGGCACCAGATCTCATTACAGATGGTTTGGAGCCACCATGTGGTTGCTGGGAATTTGTTGTGTTACGAGCGGCAGGGCTGCGTCCCTGGCACGCGGCCGCCCGCATGGCTAGCTTTACCCGAAATAATTATACAGAAACTGTATTCTTTTAAACACTGCCTGACCCATTAGTTTCAGTTTCTTATTGGCTAGCTCTTACATATTGATCTAACCCATTTCTATTAATCTGTGTAGCCCACGAGCTGGCTTACCAGGAAAGATCTTAACCTGCGTCTGTCTGGAGTGGGAGAACCATGGCGACTCCCTGACTCAGCTTCTTTCTCCCAGCATTCCGTTCTGTTTACTCCGCCTACCTAAGGGTTGGCCTATCAAATGGGTCTAGGCAGTTTCTTTATTAATAAGAAATCACTCCCACATCATTTCCCCTTTTTCTGTTTAAACAAAAAAGAAAGGCTTTAACTTTAACATAGTAAAATTACATATAGCAAAACAGTTATCAAGCAAGAATTACAGTTACAATATTTCTATCTATTTTATCTTTTATCATAACTAAGGAAAACTATAACTATCTATTCATTCTTCAACTCCATCAAAGACTCCAGAAGGATATAATACTACCTAAGTAAACAAGAAATAAGAAAACTCTAGAAATGACAGAGACATCTTGCTGCCTGGACAGTCACCCAAAGTCCTTTTGTATGGTTGGGGCATCCATCTTCAGCCTTCAGGCCCATAGTATCCAGCAGACATTTCCATGAAGCAGGAAATTTCAAAGACAGTTCAGTCACTATCTGCTGTGTCCTGCAGAATGTTTCGCAGACTCTTTCATGAGTCATGAACCCCAAAAGACCATCTCACCTTTAGGCAAGTTCAGCAGTCCTCTCTCTGCGGGTTCTCTGTGTCCATTTTATGCAACAGTCCAGGCAAGAGCAGTTTCTTGCCCAAATGGCTATCCAACTCCATAAGGATCCTCTTCGATGCCCATCTTCCTCTCGAAGTAGATTGGTGTCACCAGGAGCAGATATGTCTCATTGTCATGAAAAGTCCTAAGTTATTAAAACATTAAATGCCATATTCTGCAGTCTTTGAAAGATATGAAGAATGTCTATCTAACTGAAATGTATCTCTATATATCTAGAAAATCTAACTAACATGACTACAAGCTTGACTATTATTGATGATTAACCATTAACCTATATTTCTTAATTATACATTACATTTTTAAATGAACTACACAATCACAATACCTTAATCAAGATCAGAAATACATATACATATAACAAAATTGACTGTAAAATCCACACCAATGCAAATTACTCATACCTATATCATTTCCCCCTTTAAATGTAAAAGAACATTTACAAACAATATTTTGGGAACATGGGCGCAGTTTTTTCTCTCCAAACTGCTTCCTGCTGAATGGGGGCGCTGTTAATCAGATCATTTAGGGTGTAACCTGTGTGGCAGGTTTATCTCAGTTGCCAGTTGAGTGAAGTAATTGTTTGAGGGTGTTCACAGGAACTTTTCGGGAGGTCGTGGTCTATCATACCAAATTGGGATAGAAGAAATCCACAGGGTCTGGTCCTCTGTGAAAACAAAAGAAGACCCTCTCCAAAGCATCATATTTTTAAACCCAAATTTTGAAATCGTAATACCCTTATATCCATTCTGGTTTAGCTTAGCAGCCCATGTAATGAAATGTCTCTCTGTACTTAGCTCCTTTATAGTCAAAAATTTTAAAGAAAGCACAATGTACATAATCCAGACTCTCTGTGAATTTTTCATTTTTACGTGGCTTATTTTTCTTTATTTCTTTTAATCTCTTAACTATCTGTACTCTGTCTCTTTAAAGACTTTACCCTTTTTTAAAGACATTTACTTTATTCTCTATATTCTTATTCTTCTCTCTCTCAAGCCTATGTACATTCATCCAACACTGTGATCCACTGAGGTCTGTTATGTCTGAATCTGTTTTATTGTGAATCTGTAATATTTTTACTATCCAGGAGCATTTCTTAAAATGTTAAGCACTTCTTAAAAACTTAAGTTGCACCATGTACAGGTAATACGGTACCACCTGTGTCCTGCCCAGTCTAAACCTTAACTGTGCTGTTATTATGGTAATTACGGTAGTTCCTGCCAACCAGCACAGTTCAGCAAGGAGCAGCCTCTCCGGCCTCAGATCCATTTGGTGCCCCTGAGCTGTGCACAGTTCCAGGCACACAGCAAGTCCTCATTGGAGCCGCACTCAGCAGTTTAATTTTGAGACTGAGCATGCAGCACAGAAACTCTTTTTATCCAAGTTACAACCAAATCTGACACGCAGAGCACTGCGCAGTCTGAAAACACGTCTCTCTCTTCCACCATGCTCTTCCGCCTGCCTAAGCCTGATTCTGCCATCTGCCCAGGTGCAGGCGGGGAGCGCTGAGAGCACTCTCCTTCCGATCCCAAGCGGGAACACAAACATCCAGTCCCATAAAATCCATTGAAATGCTTTAAAGCCAGAGTTTGCACTGGCGGCACAGTCCCAAGAAGCCGCACTTTAAAATGACGCAGCTTTTTTTTCTGCTGCTGTTGCTGAATCAGGAAATCTCTCTACAGCACGCCACCAACAAACAGCAAAAATCTGTGTTAAAGTCTCTCTCCCTTATTTTTAAGCCTTCTCAGGTTTTTAAGTGGATTTAGTCCATCACGTCGGGCGCCACTCTGTTGTGTTACGAGCAGCAGGGCTGCGTCCCTGGCACGCGGCCGCCCGCATGGCTAGCTTTACCCGAAATAATTATACAGAAACTGTATTCTTTTAAACACTGCCTGACCCATTAGTTTCAGTTTCTTATTGGCTAGCTCTTACATATTGATCTAACCCATTTCTATTAATCTGTGTAGCCCACGAGCTGGCTTACCAGGAAAGATCTTAACCTGCGTCTGTCTGGAGTGGGAGAACCATGGCGACTCCCTGACTCAGCTTCTTTCTCCCAGCATTCCGTTCTGTTTACTCCGCCTACCTAAGGGTTGGCCTATCAAATGGGTCTAGGCAGTTTCTTTATTAATAAGAAATCACTCCCACATCAGGAATTGTACTCAGGACCTCTGGAAGAGCAGACAGTGCTCTTAACCACTGAGCCATCTCTCCAGCCCTCCCTTCTCTTTCTTAAAGAAGCAGACTGGCACAGTGGTCCACACCTGCAGCCCCTGTAACAGGGCTGAGGTGCGAGGGACAGATGGTGACAGATTTCCATGAGGTGCTGTTCCTACTCCGAACAGAAACCACACAAAAGGTTTTTTTTTTTTTTTTTTTGGGGGGGGGGGAGTTGCTGTTTATTCCAGAAGGAGGCAGGGCAGAGCCCAGTAGGCGCAGTTTTCACCTTATCCGGGCCGTGTCTCAGTTTAGGTTAAGGCTGAAGGAGGGCTCCCATGATCGTGCCTTCTCCCCAGAGATGCTGGGAGGGGAGGATTCACACACGGGTCAGGCGCCTCTGCCCCCGCCGAGCCACCTCTCCCTCTCCCTCGGACTGGGTCGGTTCTTTTTGCTGCTGTGACAACTCCTACAGGAGAGAGAACCAGACTGGCCCCTGCTTCCCCTGTGGGCCAGGGTCTGTCACACCTTCAGTCTGTCCATTGCTACCACAAGTTCTCATCCCTTGGCATTTCCTCCTGGCTCTGGGCCAGGCAGGAACCAGCCTTGCGACTCCAAAAGCCCCCCACCTCCCCAAAGTCTGTACATTAAAAACAAGAGGCTCACCTGAATCAGACGGCGCAAACAAGCGTTCACCTCTTGAATCTGGGTGAGCTGTGGGGAGTCAGTCGCTGAGTCTGAGTTCATTAGAAAGTCCTGGATGGTTGGAGGGTGACTGTGACGGAAAGGGACCCGCCTGCCACTTCCTCCCACAGGCTGCTCTTCTGCTCTGCCTTCCCTTGTCCCAGAACCCTCACAGACAGGTGGGAAAACCCAGTCTCTTAACACTGCAGCTCCCTTCCGACTGCACAGTATCACGCTCCCCACCCCCCCATTCTTGTTCCTTATGGCTCCTCCCTGTCCATCCTGCCCTGTGACAGGCAGGCAGGCAGGCCACTCCCCACTCTGTGGTCAAATGGAGCCCCTCTGAATGGAATGCAGACAACAATGTCACTGGCTGAACACGGGTGCCATCCTGCCATCCCAGGGCTGTTCCACCTCATGATCCCTGCCCGTTAACCCTCTCCTTTCCAGAGCAGGCTCCGCTAGGTCTCCCTCCCCCAGCCCATGCCTAGGAGGCTGCTCCCTACCTCACCGAGGGCCCCCAGATGCAGCTGCCTCTGCTGTGCCTCCCTTAGGTGGTCTGTGAACCAGGCCTGGCCCTGCTCCAGCAGCTGCAGACCCTGCCACAGAGCATCTTGTTCCCTCTCCAGAGCCTGCATCATCTGCAGCTGCCTTAAACAAACAAAAGCCAAACTCTCAGTCCCAGCAGGACCCTAGCTATGGCCCACACTCCCAAATGGCTATCCGGTCACTAAGTGTGAGCTCAGATTGGCCACTGAGGACCTGGATGGCAAGGGGACACGAGGGAAAGTTTGTGGGTCCTCAGTTGAGTGGAACTAGATCGAGGGCCGATCAGGGGAGAGGATGTCCCAAGACCCCGCTGGTCTAATACTCACCCAGAGGAAGAAGCTTGGGGCCCCTGGGTCTTGGCGGCTTGTCCCCAGTGGAAGCAGCAGAACAGTGTAGGGTGCTTGCACCTGGGGTGGCCCACCAGGACCTAGGCTCCCCATGGCTCTGATGTGGGAAGGGTGGAGCCAGCGCTGGTTCCTCTCCAAGCCCTGCCTTCTACCCATCCTGCCTTGTCTTTCAGCCTCTGAGGCCAAGATTAAGGCAAGAGACGCCTGCCCTGAACTATGTGCCATCCTTCAGTCTGTTTTCGTAGAGCCTCTTTGGAGTAGTTGGCCTCATTGAGTCCCAAGAGCAGGATTTGAATTTATTTAAATTTGTATTTATTTATTTACTTTTTATAAGAGACGGTCTTTCTATGTAGCACTCACTATATAGACTAGGCTGGCCTCAGACTCAGAGATCTGTTTCTGCCTTCCTGGTATTGGGATTAAAAGCCTGCACCTCGGGGCTGGAGAGATGGCTCAGTGGTTAAGAGCATTGCCTGCTCTTCCAAAGGTCCTGAGTTCAATTCCCGGCAACCACATGGTGGCTCACAACCATCTGTAATGAGGTCAGGTGCTCTCTTCTGGCCTGCAGACATACACACAGACAGAATATTGTATACATAACAAATATTAAAAAAAAAAAGCCTTCATCTCCATCCCTGACTGGATTTGTGTGCATATATCTGTCTGAGTTTCACGTTTCCCAGAGCCCAGGAGACCAGAAGGATGTTGGAAACCTTGGAACTGGAGTTACAGATGCATGAGAACTGACTTGTGTTGCAGGAACCAACCCACTTCTGCAAGAGCAGCCAGTGCTCCTAACCACTACATCCCCCAGCTCTCCTGTTGTCCCATTGGGTGGCCTCTGGAAGGATTTTGATCCAAAATAAACTTTATTCCTAATACAAAACAAAAAAAATGTTGTGCAGACAGAGAAGTCAGCATCTAGAGAAGAAAAGGAAGCGATGTGGCGGGTCTCGGCTGTCAGGTAGCTGGGAGGATGGGGAAGGAGCTCAAAGGATGGTGGTGGCCGCTGGTAACACTTCCTGACTCATGAAGATGCCCAGGTCCAGGGTGGGATCTTCCAGATCCAGCTTCAGAAACTTAGTCACCAGTGCCTGGCAACTGCAGGGGAGAAAGAACCATGTGATTTCCAAATCTGTGCACAGAAAACCGCAGCTTTGAAGAGAAACGGTTTCAGAGAGCAGCATGGGTCCTGTTGGTTTTGTCATTGGCTGACAAGGTCTTGCTTTGTAGCCCAGGCTGGCCTTGAACACTGGGACTACAGGCATGTCCATCACACCTGGCTTGGTGAGGGAAGGGCACAGGGCTGCAGGAAGGCTGGCTGAGGCCCTGTGAGGGGGAGATGTTGGGAAGGAGCCACACTCACTTTTCCATCTGGTTCCTCCTCAAAAGCTCATTTACAGGTTTGATAGGTTTCCCACTGCGGATCAGGTCTGAGACCTAGCACAAGAAGGAAAGCGGGAGAGCTGCTGGGTGCACATGAGGGAAGAGGGCCTAGCACTCCACGTCTTCAGGAGGAGTTGGGTATAAGGTGCAGAGATGCCCAGTGGTTAAGAACACTGGCTGATCTCACAGAAGACCTGGGTTCAATCCCTATCACCCACAAGGCAGCTCACAACCATCTGTGACTCCAGTTTCCTGAGATCTGCTGCCCTCTCCTGACGCCCACAGGCACCAGGCACATGTGGTGCAGACATAAATATTGCAAGGAAAACACTCATGCACAAAAGACTTTTTTTTTTTTTTGAGGCAGGGTTTCTCTGTGTAGAGCAGGCTGTCCTCGAACTTGCTTTGTAAACCAGGCTAACTTTGAACTCACAGAGATCCATCTGCCCCTGCCCATGGAGTGCTGGGATTAAAGGTGTGTGTCACCACCACCGGGCAAAATACATAAATCTTAAAAACCACTTGAAGAGGATCAGGTGTGCTGGAGGGAGCCCCGAGGTGGCAGTGGCAGCACACAGGCTCTCGTCACCTCTTTGCCACGAGCAACGAGCTGGTCAGGAAGTCCGGCCTGGGCAGCTGTGTAGGAGGCATGGCTGGCACTGGCAACACCTTGGCAAAGCTGGTAGAAGAAGACAAGGTCGTCCTCGTCCTCACAGGTCTCCATGGTCTAGGAGAGCAAACAGTGACAGTGTGGGACTCCCAGGGACTGAGAAGAGGGAAAGGCCACGGGCTGGAGTGACCTCCTCACCAAGTACTGCACTAGGGGTCCTTGTGGCAGCAGCTGCAGCTGAACCAGGCTCAGGAAGTTGGTGGCCACAAAGATGTGGGGGCAGCTGGGTCCCAGGGCTAGCCAGTGCCGGAGCACAGCAGCCAGAAGTGCCAGCCCGTCCACCTGCCAGAGGGCAGAGGTGAGGGGACAGAGCCAGGGCATCCGTGCCCTTCTGTACCTGCCCTGCCCCGCACCCACCCTCTACCCCCCACCCCCGTCTCTGCCCATCCATCCCCCTCCCTTCCCTGAGCTCCTCTCCTGCCCCTGTCCCCCTTCATCCTCCATCCCTGTCCTCATTCTCCTCCTCACCGTATTGGTTCCCTTCCCAAATTCATCAATGAGGACCAGGGACTGCTGGGTGGCATTGTTCACGGCTTTCGCCACCTGTTGAGCACGGGGTGAGCAGGGTTTCCTTAGCCTCAGCACTGGCTTCTGACGTGTCGCCACGAATAAACTTTGCACCTGTCTTACAGCGACTGGCCTGTCTGCTCAGCCCTCCCTTGTCAGCAGTGAGGAAGGCTCACAAAGGAGTCTCAGAAGTGCTTATGGTGTTGCTTCCTCCAGACTCTGACCCAGGTGCCCCCTGGCCCCAAGTACAGAGGACATGCAGCTGAGGGAATGTGTCCCCAAGGGCGGGGCCCAAGTCCTGCTTGAATCTCCCTTCCCCACCTCCTTTTGCTCCGTTTAACCTGGTTGAGGTCAATCATGAAGGTGGAGAGACCGAGGGAGATGGATTCACAGCTATGAATTTGGGTGAAGATGGCATCGATTATTCCAATTTCAGCCTCCTCTGCTGGCACAAAGCTGCCCACCAGGGCCATAAACGTGATCAAGCCTACCTGTGCGTGGGAGGACACAGGACATGGGCCTGGTACTATGGCAAAGTACAAACAGGTCAACTAAAGACATGAGTGACAGATTAAAGAGAGGACACACTGTCCCCGTGTCCTGACTTCAGAGTTACTCTAAAGTCAGGGCTGTGGGTAAAGGCATGCCGGGAATGACACGGGATCTCTTCAGAGCTCGGTCAAGGGACCCATGGCCATGAAAAGGCCTATCCTAAAGAACTGGCTCTCAGTTCTCAGACATGTGTTTTGGGGAGCAGAGGATTTGGCCTGGCTGGCAGACGAGACGGAGATGCCAAAGACCGAGGTTGTATGGCTCCTCACCTGTTTGAGGTATATGCTTTTCCCTGAGGAGTTGGGTCCAGTGATGACTTTGACCCTCCCTTGGTCCCCACCACAGTCTGTGGAGTTGGGCACAAAGGTTCGTGCACACAGTTCCATCAGAGGATGCCTGGGGATGGGGGAGACACTGCATGGCCCAGGATCCAGGTGGATGAACCCCACACCAGAAGACGGAGCCTGTGGCCCTGTCTGTGTCTCCGCCCCACTCTGTCCTCACCTGCCATTCTTGATTTGTACCCCGTGGATTCGGGGAGAGTAGTGGGGTCTTGAGTAGCCATAGTCCCGGGCAGCACTGGCAAGAGCCAGTAGGACATCAAGGCGAGAGGCAAGGTCCAGTACCCGCGTCAAGACAGACGCCCGCGCCAGCACCTGGCACTGCAACTGGTACATCAGCAGGGTCTCCTGGTCTGGGGACAACTGGTACATCAGCAGGGTCTCCTGGTCTGGGGGACAACTGGTACATCAGCAGGGTCTCCTGGTCTGGGGACAACTGGTACATCAGCAGGGTCTCCTGGTCTGGGGGAGAACTAGGGTCAGTTCTGGGTCAAGAGAGGTCCCTGGAAAGACCTGGAAACAGGCTTACAGATGATACAGCCTGAGGCTCCCCCTGCCATGGCCCTCACCCCGGATCTCGCAGTGCAGGTCCCCCAGCAGTGCGTCCAGCTCCTTGGTTCGCGTGCTGCGGTAGTGCAGCTTGTCCTCTGAGAGAAACTGGGGGCAAGGGTTCCAAGCTCTGGGCGTTTGTGACATGATTTCACTATGTAGCCCTGGCTGGCCTGGAACTCAAAGCAATCCCTCTGCCTCTGTCTCCCAAGTGCTGGGATTACAGTCGTGCACCACCATGCCCAGAGACTCCATCTCCTCCCGCAGTGCGCCCCCTAACTTCTCTGTCTCAGCTAAAGCTCTGATTAAGTTAGACATGACCCCACAGTTTGGTCAGTGCTGATGGTGAGATCTTCCAGCTTCTTTATCACGCTCCCCCATCCCCAGCAGCGGGAGTCCAGAGATTTACCATGAAGTCTAGTCCCTCAATCTCAAAGTCACTGGTCTCCACCATAAAAGGCAAGCGGGGAATGGAAAGAAGGAAGCCAATCTGGGGAGAGAAGAGAGACAGAGTGGGGGGTAACCTGCTCCACACCCTCTCTTTCTAGAGGAAGCCCCGACACCACTAGAATCAGCAAAGGTAAGCATGCCCTGGACTGCTGATCTGGCTGGGTGTCAGTCTCTGCTCACCACTCCACAGGAGACATGAGCAGCTGTCCTCCCCTCCAGCCCTCGCCACAATCCCCCGGAAGCTCCGCCCTCTGCCCTGCTCACCAGAGGGATGTAGATGACACTACAGGAAGGAATGCGGGCGTCCAGATTCTCCAGCTCCTTCTGAGCAACCTCGGTGAGGAAACTCGGAAGGCCCATCAGCCTTCGTTTTTCTAGTTGTGTATAGAATTACGTGCATATAAAAGAGAAGGTCCAGGAAGATTAGGGGTTCTAGGACAACCCTGGCCACAAGAAACTATTTTTTAGGGGGCTGGAGAGATGGCTCAGCTGTTAAGAGCACTGCCTGCTCTTCCAAAGGTCCTGAGTTCAATTCCCAGCAACCACATGGTGGCTCACAACCATCTGTAATGGGGTCTGGTGCCCTCTTCTGGCCTGCAGGCATACACACAAACTGAATATTGTATATATAATAAGTAAATAAATTAAAAAAAAAAAGAAACTATTTTTTAAAAATTCCTGATTAGCTGCTGGGCATGGTGCATGTTAGCCCACCATGGAAGCAGAAGGACCAGAACTCTGAGGCCATCCTTAGCTATGAATTAAATTTGAGGCTAGTCTATGCTACAGGAGACTCTGTCTCAAAAACAACAAGAAAGATCTTTGCTCTGATTGGAAAGCTGATTCCCAGCTGTGGGGTTTGTGCTGGCTGACAGCCCCCGCCCCGCCCACCCACGCCCAGCGCTCACTCGCGTCTATCTCAGGATCGATGTTCGGGAGGACCGTGAAGCGGTTTTCAGCAAGACTCTCCTCAAAGTTTACCTGAGGAGACAGATGGGAAGTTTCTTAGCACTCGGCAGCATGGTTCCTCAGCTCTCGGGGCCCAGATCTCCCCCCACGCACACGTCCTCTCCCCACCCTGCGCAGTCGCCAGTTGACCCCAGGACCTCCCACAGCACATCCTCCAGACCCTCCCTGTTCCCCCATCCTGCTCCCGCTCACCACTTTCCCAATGAGGCTGGCGACGTGGTGCAGGTCATCGGAGAACTCCTGGGCAATGTCCCGAAAAAGCTGGATGGACTGGGGCAGGGAGCGGCAGGCATCCCTCAGGCCCAGGGCACTGTACACAGTCTGCAGGACAGACAGCCAAGGAAGGTGACCCCACTCAGGGGAGCTGAGGGGGCCTGGGAACGAAGACCAATGGGGAACACTGAGAGTTATTAAGGCAGAAAGACACAAAGCGAGACACACATATACAGAGAGAAGAGGATTAACTTCTGTGAGGGGGGACAAGACAGAACTAGGAATAAAAGTCAAGAAGAAAAGCCAAGAGCTAAGTCTGCCAGCCTGAGGTCAGCTTCCGGAACCATGTGGGGGAGGAGAGAGCCTCACAGGCTGTACTCCGGTTCACACATGAACGTCACGGTACAGGCTAGCACAGACATACACCAAATAAAAACATTTTTTTTTAAATTTTTGAGACAATGCTTCTCTGTGTATCCCTTGACTTCCCTAGAACTCCCTCTGTAGACTAGGCTGGGCTTGAGCTCAGAAATCCACCTGCCTCTGCCTCCCGAGTGCTGAGATTAAAGGCGTGCCTCACCACCACTCAGCTAAATGTTTTATGAGAAGAGGCAGCGCCAGCCTAGGGCCCAGCAGAGAGCAAGGGCTCGGAGTCCTTGAGAACCGACTTCCCAGGGCAGGACCAGTGACCAAGCCGCAGATCTAACCACTGATTAAATTTCTGGACAGAGTCATAAGCACCTGAGTGGTCTCGCTCTGTGCAGAGCTGTAGAAACTGCAAGCGGCAGAAACAGTGGTAAAGCCAACAGTGAGCTGGACAGCTGACAGTCATCGGGAACGTCAGAAAACAAGCTGCCACAGCCTGAAACAGTTGGGAAGCCTTTTCAGAGGAAAGGAAAGGAGATGCTCGTGAATAAAGACTCGAAAGTCGTGTGAGAGCAGGAGCAGAGCAGGTGAACTGAAGAAGACGCAGCGGCCCATGCAGAGCAGGTGAACTGAAGAGGAGGACGCAGCGGCCCACGCGGACTGGCCAGGCAGTTCTAGTTTTCCACGCGTGTTCACTTCACTGCTTCGTCAGAGTGCTCCTGTGCGGTGGGCACTGCTGCCACCCCCAGTTCACAGATGAGAACCCTGAAGCACCAGAGGCAAAGACAGCCTCAACCCTCAATAAACAAACTCAGCAAATTAATGGACTGGGCTTGAACCAGGTGTGTGGTCCCCGCCCCCTCATTGTCTATCAGAAATTAAACCCAGGACCCAAGGGCCTCCCAGGACTCCAGTGCTGAGCTGTGATCCCTACCCTTGTTTATTCTGAGACAAGAGCCCACTAAGTTACCCACACAGCTCTCTAATGCACTCTGTAGCCCAGGCTAGCCTTAAACTTGTTTTGGGGGAAGAGGACAAAGTCTCAGTTGGGGGTGGTGTCACAAGTCTGTAATTCCAGCTCTCTGGAAGTTGAGGCAGATGGATCACAAGTTCAAGATCAGCTTGGATGGCATAGTGCATTTGAGGCTAGCCCGGGTTATATTTTTGAGATCGCATCTCTAAAGTAAGCAACCAAAGAAGCAAACATCAATGCTTAGGAAACAGACACAGAAAGATTTATAATTCTTGCAACTTTTAAGTCTTAAATTTCTTCAAAAACTAAGGGCCAGCAAGCTGGCACAGCAAAGGGTTTGCTACCAAACTGAGTCAGTCCTGGTGTCCACACGGAGGAGGGAGGAACTGGCCCTGCAGGTTTGCCTCTCGCCTCAAGTGCTCACCGTCACACGTGTGCACCCACATTCACAGCGAATGTAATCAGTCTTAAAAACTAAGTAAAAACAATAGAATGGGGCTGGAGAGATGGCTCAGAGGTTAAGAGCACTGACTGATCTTCCAGAGGTCCTGAGTTCAATTTCCAGCAACCACATGGTGGCTCACAGTCATCGATATGAGAGCTGATGCCAACACTATATATACAACAAATAAGTAAATAACTATTAAAAACACAATAAAATAATTTTTTATAATTTACTTATTTTTATGCGGGAATCAGATCCCCTGGAACAGGAGTAACAGACAGCTGTGAGGTGTTATGTGGGTGCTGGGAATTGAACCCAGGTCCTCTTGAAGAGAAGCCAGTGCTCTTAACCACTAAGCCAGCCCTCTAGCCTCCAGAATGTTAAATTTTAAAATTAAAAAAGATACAGGGGCTTGGTGGCATACTCCTTTAACCCAAACACTCAGAAGGAAGGCAGAGGAGAGCCAGTCTCTGTGAATTTTAAACCAGCCTGGTCTACAAGGAGTTCCACGACAGCCAGGGCTACATAATGAGAAGCTGTTTTAAAAAAAGTAAATAAATGTAGAGGTTTGAATGAAAATGGCCCCACAGGCCGTAGGGAGTGGCGTTATTAGGAGGTGTGGCTTTGCTGGAGGAAGTGTGTCACTGGGGTGGGCATTGAGGACTCCGGTGCTCAGACCAGATCCAGTGTCGCTCTCCTCCTGCTGTTGAGGATCCAGATGTAGAATTCTAAGCTACTTCTCCAGCACCGTGTGTACCTGCCTGCTGCCATGCTTCCTACCATAATGACAATAGACTAAACTTCTGTAAACCAGCCCCAGTTAAGAGGAGTTGTGGTCATGGTGTCTCTTCACAGCAATAGAACACTAAGACAATAAATACATAGATTTCTTTTACTTTTTATAATTATGTATAAATATTTAGTTACATCAGCCCAGACAAGGCATGTGTCATTAATTCTAGCTTCTGTCCCAGTTTCTTTACGCTATTAGCAGCAAACTTCATGATCCTGGGAAGACGGCTCGGCAGTTAGAGCCCTTGTAGCTCTTGAAGACCCAGATTTGTTTGCCAGCACCGGCATGGTGGCTCACAAGCACTCGTAACTGCGGTTCCAGGATCTGGTGCCGTCTGCTGGCCTTTCTAGGTTAGGCATGCACATGCAGCACAAACACACATGCAGGTGTACATTCCACACACTGAATAAACACACATGCAGGTGAACACTCCACACACTGAATAAACACACATGCAGGTGAACACTCCACACACTGAATAAACACACATGCAGGTGAACATTCCACACACTGAATAAACCTTAAAACATTAAAAAGAACAAGCACGCAGGCAAGAAAGAAAGACGGGTACAATAATAAAGGAGGGGCCTTGTGGTTCTGATATTAGTACAAATAATAAAGGAGGGGCCTTGTGGTTCTGATATTAGTACAAATAATAAAGGAGGGGCCTTGTGGTTCTGATATTAGTACAAATAATAAAGGAGGGGGCCTTGTGGTTCTGATATTAGTACAATAATAAAGGGGGGGGGGGCCTTGTGGTTCTGATATTAGCACAATAATAAAGGGGGGGCCTTGTGGTTCTGATATTAGCAGGCACATCAGTGCCAGCTCTGTAGTCACCCAAGGGCAGTGCTCGTGGAAGGTGACGGGACGGTTGGAGTCCGCGTACTGGCCCTGAACTTTGGCACAAGGGCAGAAATTACACTGCATGTATTTTTGATATTGTCTGCAGCACAGAGTTTAGGAGACACATCAGTGGGTGTAGCATGGCAGGTATCCAGAGCAGAGAAGGTCTGTGTACAGGATTTGAAGCTTAACTGGGATTTCTGGATCTAAGAAGGGGCGCCTGCAATCCCAGAACTCGGGAAGGGGCAGGAGGCCTTACCTTGTAGAGGACTTGCCAGTCACTGACCTTGGTGTGGGACAGCTTCATGCGCTTCAGAATCAGCTACAAGCAGACAAAGGAACAGCCATCATTGGCCATCTTGCCATCTGACACCCCACAAGAGGCCCACAGTCCAGGCAGGAGAGACCCAGGTTTGGTCCCCGGCACCCACATCAGGAGGTTGACAAACACCCATTAACTCTAGCTTAGGGGATCCACCATCCTTTCCTGGACTCTGCAGTCACCCACACTCACGTGCATGTACTCCACACAGACACGCCTAATTTCACTTGTTTGTTTAAGATAAAGTCTCATTACGTAGCTCTGACTGAACTGGAACTCACTATGTAGATCAGGCTAGCCTCAAACTCACAGGCCTGGCTATAAATGCATATAATTAAAAACAATATCTTAGGTTGGGCAGTGGTGGTACACGCCTTTAATCACACACAGCACTTGGAAGTCAGGCAGAGTTCCCGGTCAGTCAGGAGCACACAGAGAGATCTGGTCTACAGAGCGAGTTCCCAGTCAGGAGCACACATAGAGACCCTGTGTGAAAAATAGTCAGGGGTGATGGCGCACAACTTTAATCCCATCACTTGGGAGATAAAGGCAGGTGGGTCCCTTTGAGTTCCAGACCATTCAGGTTACATGGTGAGACCCTATCTCAAAACAAAAAACAAACAAATACTAAATTTTAATAAAATAAAAATAAGAAGCCCAAAGCTTTCTATAAGCATCAGCCTCGTTCCCGCTCCCTGACCTCCACCATGGGCTCTCAGCTTTATTCCCTGACCCTGGGCTCACAGGCACGTTCTTGATGTGGCTCAGGAGACGATGCATCATCTGAGCCGTGTTCACATTCTGAGGCATCAGGAAAAACTGAATGACATCCAGACGGGAATTGAGTTCTCTTAGCTCCTGAGTTGGACGGGTAAACCATAGCCTGTGGGAAGATTAGAAGTCACATCTCATCATCTTGATTTTGCTTGGAAATCTTTGGGAAGTGTGGTAGTATGTGCCTGCAGCACACTACAGGAATGAACTGGCAAGTGCGGGCCCCGTCTCTGTGGGCATGTTTGTAACACGATGGCTGTCTGCGTGTCGTGGATTTGATGGAGGAGACCATGTGTCACTCCATGTGGATATGTGATAGAGAGTGTCAATATTTTAGAACGACAGCAGCGTGTTGTGGTATTCGTGTGCCAACACTATAGATTTCTGCAGCTGAGTGGGAGCAGCTGAGTCACTCTGAGTTTGCTGTCTGTGTGTAGCTGTGACAGTATCTTAGGGAAACAGCACAGACGAAACCTCATCTTTTCATGTGCTTTCTGTGCAAATGCCTGTAACAAATTCTCATTCTCTCTCCTGCTCTCTTCCACTCTTTCTTCTGGCGATGTTTAAAGTTGAGTCAATGCTTACTCACTATCCAAGCAACAAACTACTGAGCCACACCCCAGCCTGCATTTTTTTTTTTTTTGAGACAGGTTTCACATAGCTCAGACTGGTCTCAAACTTACTTGCTATATGGCCAAGACTGACCTGGAACTCCTGGTCCTCTAGCTTATATTTCCTAAGTGCTGGAATTACACTTGTGTGCCACCAGACCACTGCCCAGTCTGCTATTCTTTGTGTGTGCATGTATTATGAGTGTGAGTGTGTGTGTGTGTGTGCACAGGAATGTCATGACACCCGGGAGATCAGAGGATAGCTCTGGAGCTGGTTCTGTCCCACCTCTATGTAGGTTCAGGTTGCTAGACTTCTGCAGAAAACACCTTTACCTGTCGAGCTGTCTGACCAGTCCCTAGACTGCAATTCCTTTTTTTTTTTTTTTTGTTTTTTTCTTCCTTCTTTTTTGTAAAGGTGTGTGTGTGTGAGCTTAAGGAGCCCCAAAAGGCAGTCGGTGGTGCCTCACACCTTTAATCCCAGCACTCGGGAGGCAGAGACAGGTGAATCTCTGTGAGTTCAAGGCCAGCCTGGTTTACAAGAGCTAGTTCCAGGACAGGCTCCAAAGCTACAGAGAAACCCTGTCTCGAAAAACAAAAACCAAAAAAGAAAAAAAAAAAAAAAGGAGCCCAAAAAGGGAAGACTGATCCCCTGGAACTGTGTCTGTGAGCTTATCAATGTGAATGCTAGTCCTTGAATTGTCTTTGAAAAAATTACATTTAAAATTGTGTGTTTGTGTGTGTAAGAGAGGGAGGGAGGGAGGGAGGGAGGGAGGGAGGGAGGGAGGGAGGGGGAGCATGTATGTGCCATGGTGCACATGTAGGGGACAGAGGAGAACTTGTGTGAATTGGTTTTCTTCTTCTGTCATGTGATATTTGCACACTGTGTGAAGGTGTATTGCTGTGATTGGTGTAATAAAATGCTGAACAGCCAATAGCTAGGCAGGAGGTATAGGAAGGATTTCCGAGGAAAGAAAGGAAAAGGAGGATAACTAAGGTGCAGAAGAGACGCCAGGAGATAGGGAAGAGAAGCAGGATGAGTGGTCCGTGACAGAGTGTGGATAATAGAAACGAGTTATGAGTTAGTTAAAAACAAGCCTAAGTTAAGGCCAAGCTGTTTTCTTGTTTGTTTGTTTTGAGACAGAGTTTCTTTGTGTAACAGCCCTAGCTGTCCTAGAACTAGTTCTTGTAGATGAGGCTGACTGCAAACTCACAGGGATCTGCCTGCCTCTGCCTCCTGAGTATTGGCATTAAAGGCTATGCCACCACTGCCCAGCTTGGCCCAAGCTTTCATAATTAATGAAGCTTCTCTGTGCCGTTATTTGGAATCTGGCTGGCAGGACAGAAAAAGACTTGCTATGATATGAGTTCTGGGAATTGAACTCAGATCACCAGGCGTAGTGACAAGTGCCTCTGTCCACTGAGCTTGCACCTCAGTCTACTTTACTTAGTTTACAGTTCCTTCTTCTTCTTGTTTAGAGACAAGGTCTCATTATGTAGCCTTGGCTGGCCTAGAGCTCATAGAGTCTGCCTGCTTCTGCCTCTGGTAAGACTCAACCTAGTCACCATGTCCAACTCTTCTTAAATGTTTAATAATGGTCATCTCTTAGAAGAGGAAGGACTTGTAGAGATGGTGAAGGTGTTTCAACAGGTGGGTCTGATTCATACATGACTAGTGTGTACAGACATCATCACACCTTTTGCTGCCAGAAGTATTACCTGTTAAGTTAAAATAAATTACTCTACAGCAGTAATGTCTCATCTGAATTTGTTTAATTCTGGGTGTGGGATTTAATTCTGTAAGAACTTTAGCCTGGGGTTCTTTTCTACGTAATAGCAAGCCATTACTCACGCAATCTGAGAGCCAGCAAGTGGAGACCTGGGCCTGAGGGTGTCACCTCCCACTTAGCCCATAGCCAGTTATGTTCAATCAGAACACCCCAAATTAGAAGAAAACCAAAGATGCATTTCAGTTCAAGGGTGGGTTTTGGCCACCCTCGTTCTTCTCCAAGGAAAAGAGCGCTTGGGCCACAGCAGTGTCGGCCGGACCAGGGAGCTCTGTCCCAACTCTGTAGAGCACAAGACCCACCTAGCGACTTCCTTCTAGAACACTGGGTCTACCAGACTCCTGTTCTGTTAGTGACCCGAGGAAGTGAGGACTGAGTCAGTAACTTGTCCAACACCGCACTGCTAATGAGAAGTGCATGTGGGTGTCAGGCTGCAGCACCCTGTCAGCTGGGAGCAGCTGCAGCCTGCACTTCAGCACTCAGTGCTGCCTTGCGGGTCCCATGTGGAAATCTGCGTTTGTGGCTCTCATCTGCCCCATGTTCTTCTCATGAGCAGAGGATAATCGTGAACCTCTGAACCTCTTCCTTCTACCTTCTGCTCTATGTGATGCTGGGGAAGGAACCCAGGGAAACACACTACCAACTGAGCTACATCCCTGTTGTGGAATATTATTTTAGCTAGGCAAAGAAGTGTTACTTTTGTTTATTCTGAGGAATATTACTTTAACTGTGTAAAGGTGTGTTACTTTTGTTTATCCCGGGGAATATTACTTTAACTGTGTAAAGGTGTGTTACTTTTGTTTATCCTGAGGAATATTACTTTAACTGTGTAAAGGTGTGTTACTTTTGTTTATCCTGAGGAATATTACTTTAACTGTGTAAAGGTGTGTTACTTTTGTTTATCCCGGGGAATATTACTTTAACTGTGTAAAGGTGTGTTACTTTTGTTTATCCCGGGGAATATTACTTTAACTGTGTAAAGGTGTGTTACTTTTGTTTATCCCGGGGAATATTACTTTAACTGTGTAAAGGTGTGTTACTTTTGTTTATCCCGGGGAATATTACTTTAACTGTGTAAAGGTGTGTTACTTTTGTTTATCCCGAGGAATATTACTTTAACTGTGTAAAGGTGTGTTACTTTTGTTTATCCTGAGGAATATTACTTTAACTGTGTAAAGGTGTGTTACTTTTGTTTATCCCGGGGAATATTACTTTAACTGTGTAAAGGTGTGTTACTTTTGTTTATCCCGGGGAATATTACTTTAACTGTGTAAAGGTGTGTTACTTTTGTTTATCCCGGGGAATATTACTTTAACTGTGTAAAGGTGTGTTACTTTTGTTTATCCCGGGGAATATTACTTTAACTGTGTAAAGGTGTGTTACTTTTGTTTATCCTGAGGAATATTACTTTAACTGTGTAAAGGTGTGTTACTTTTGTTTATCCCGGGGAATATTACTTTAACTGTGTAAAGGTGTGTTACTTTTGTTTATACTGAGGAATATTACTTTAACTGTGTAAAGGTGTGTTACTTTTGTTTATCCCGGGGAATATTACTTTAACTGTGTAAAGGTGTGTTACTTTTGTTTATGCTGCATTTATTTAACGATGTAAGGATGTGTGCTTAATTATGTAAAGATGTATTGCATCTGTTTCACCTTGACTGCCTAAGGCACCTGATTGATCCAATAAAAAACTGAACAGCCAATAGCTAGGCAGGAGGGGGACAGGCAGTGCTGCCAGGCAGAAAAAATAAATAGGAGAAATCTAAGCTCAGAAAGAAAGAGGAGGATAAAGGAGAGAATAAGGAACATGCCTGGGGCAAGAAGCCAGGCAGATGCCAGACAGACAGACATAGAGAAGCAATGAGAGTAATATATACAGAAACAGAAAGGTAACAAGCCCCAAGGTAAAAGGTGAAGAGAAACAGGTTAATTTAAAAGAGCTAGCCAGAAATGCGCCCAAGATAGGTCGAGCATTCAAAAATAATAATAAGTCTCAGATATGGGAGCTTGTTGGTGGCCCAAAAGAAAAAGCCTGGTACACATTCCTAGTCCTTACTCTATCCCTCCCCTTTAAAAAATTTACATGTATTAGCTGGGCGATGATAGCATATTTCTTTAAACCCAAAAGAGACAGAGACAGGCAGGTCTCTAAGTTTGAGGTCAGCTTGATCTACAGAGTGAGTTCCAGGACAGCCAGGGCTACATAGAGAAACCTTGTCTTGAAAAAAATAGAACAAAACAAATTTTTGTGTGTGTTTAAGTTTGTGTGAGTATGTGCAATGGATGAGCAAGTACGTGTCTTAGAGGCCAGAGGGTCTCGTATCCTGGAACTGGAGTTCCATGCTGTTCCACGCAACTGTGAACAGCCTGGCATGGGCGCTGGAACCTGAACAAGGATTCTTTAGAAGAGCAGCAAGTGATGAGCCACACACACACCTTCTTAAAAAAGAAAGTCACACCTCCCAAGCAAGTGTTACAGATGTGTGCTATATGCCTTGAGATACACACACACACACACACACACACGATGATCTTGCCAAGTAGCCAAGGCCTCAAACTTGTATTACCTCCAGCCCCGCCCTTTCTGAGTGCTGAGATTACAGGTATTTGCCCCATGCCTGGCTCTCTCCTTCTTTAGCATAATTCTCTTCTCCACAGGAAAGTCTCTTTCTCCATGCTAGGCATGCTCATCTATTCCTGTAATCCCAGCATGCAGGAGGCAGACAGGAGGATCATCAAAAGAAGAAGGTCACCTGGGCCTTTCTAGCAAGTTTCAGACTGGTCTGGGGTGCACAGTGAGACCACATTTCCAGCAAATCCTCTAAGACCCCCACTTTTCACTCCCTGCTTGGAACTCAGGATTTACATCTGAAGCATTAAAGAATGTGTGGGTAATTCTGTTACTCAGAGATCATCCTCAGTCCCCAGAAGGAATGTGTTGCAGTGGGGCAGGTGGGGAAAGGAGCAGCCCTAGGCCTGTCTGCTAGCAAAAGTTTGTATGTGTTCTGAGGTTCTGGAGACGATGCAGCTGGTATGCTTGAGTTCCCGTACTGTGCACACTCACTGAGTATTCTACCTACAAAGTCATGTGCCAGACGCGGGCAACAGGAACTCATAAGTATAAGGCAACTGTTTCACCAAGAATTCTAACCTGATGTGAAAGAACGCTGGACCACACGGGCACAAGGAGGTGCACCCCCACCTCTCATGTGCACCTGAGAGAGCGTCACCTGAAAGGTCAGAGTGTAAATGTTGACAGGGGTGACTAGAATACAGGGTAGAGCTAGCAGAAAAGGATTTACGAGGAATCTGGAGATGTGAACCTGAAAATTAAAACCAAGGTGAACAGGGGTGTGACGATTGGTTTAAATCGTCAATGTGAGTTGTGCTGGTGAAGGGTTGTTAGGTGTCAGAGCTACTGTGGGCATTGTTCCTTGGACAGCAGAGGAGAGGGTGCCTGAACTGTCCTTGCCCCACTATCACGCTGATGATTATCTCGAATATCACCATAGAATCTTCATCTGGCGATGAATGGAGATAGAGACAGAGACCTTCATCAGAGCAACGGACTGAGCTCCCAAGGTCCAGTTGAAAGGCAGAAGGAGGGAGAAGACAAGCAAAGAAGTCAGGACTGCGAGGGGTTGGTCCACCAACTGAGGCAGTGTGCCTGTTCTAATGGGAGTTCACCAAATCCTGCTGGACCGAATCTGAATGAGCATATGATCAAACCAGACTCTAATTGTGGCTGACAATGGGGGCTGACTGAGAAGTCATTGATAAAGGCACTGGGACTTGTTTTTACGGCATGTTCTGGCTTTTGGGACCCTAGTCTATATGGATGCACAGCTCCCTAGACCTGGATATAGCGGGGAGGGTCTTGGACTTCCCACAGGGCAGGGTTCCCTGCCCTCTCTCAAGCAGGGTGGGAGAGGGAGGAGGGGGTGTGGGGGAAGCGGGAGGGGATTGGGAGGAGGAAAGGAAGTGTAAATAATTGAATGGAAAAATAAAAATAAAAAAAAGAATACCAGAAAAAAAATTGTCAATTTGATACAGTCTAGAACTACTTCTGAGAATGTCTGAGGGATTATCTTAATTATATCCATTATATACAGTGCTATATAATATATATTACATACATAGATATATTATTTGTGCTTTAATAAATAAAGCGTGCCTGAAGATCAGAGGGCAAAGCAGTCACACTAGGCAGCCATACAGGCCAGGCAATGGTGGTGCACACCTTAATCCCAGGACTCAGGCCAACCTGGGCTATACAAGATAGATTCAGAAACAGATCCAGGTGGTACTGGCTCACACCTTTAATCCCAGCACTAGAGAAGTGAAGACAAAAGTGATATGGCTGGGAGGAGAGAGGAGAGAGGAATAAAAGGGAAGAGACAGGAACTCTACTGGCATGTGGAGTCTGAGGACTCATGCAGACAGGATCTCGCCCTTTTGGGCTGAAGATTTGGTAGAGGTAAAAGGTCTCTCTAGTGGTTGGCTGCTTTGCTTTTCTGGTCTTCAGCTTGAACCCCAATATCTGTCTCTAGGTCTTATGACGTGGAGAACTGTGAGCAGCACTGTTCCCTGGGCTTAGGATTTTAGACTGAATGAGGAGAAACCTAGCCAATACTGGCACGCACACAAGAATCCTCGCTCTTATTCACTGCTCTTTGCTTCAACTGCAGATACAATGTGACTTCCCACGATGATGGGACCTGGAACCATGAGCCAATAAACCCTTTTACCCTTAAGTTACTTCTGATCAAATATGCTGCCACAGCAACGGAAAAGAAACTCAGGAAGGAACCCTACACACCACACTACAGATCACACCACTACATATGCTCAGCTTTCCCATGACAGGGAAGCGTCCTTGTTTCTACTTAAGACTTTTTAAGAAGTGGACATGCCCAGATCTATTGATCAGGCCAGCCTGTGGTTTAGAATGAATGGCTCATTTAGAGAAAGAGACCAGAGGCAGGGACCATTTTGGAGGTAAATGCAATGCTTCTGATTAACATCCTGATAGCGAGAATTAGATTGTAAAGAGGGAGGAAGGATGGCTAAGAGATTCCAGGATAGAGACAAGAGACACCAGTGAATAACTGATTATGGAGGATGAGGGCGTTAGGTGAATAATTCCTGTTTTGTTTTTTGAGACAAGGTCTTAGCATGTGGCTCCAGCTGTCAGGGAACTCACTGTGTAGACCAGGTTGGCCTCAAACTCACAGAGATCCTCTGTCTGCTTCCTGGGCTACGATTAAAGGTGTGCACTTGGCTAATTTCTGTTTCGTTTGCTATGGAATAGGGTCTCAGGCAGCACAGCTGCCTCCATCTGATTTTTTTTTAAATATTTATTTACTTATTATGTATACAATATTCTGTCTGTGTGTATGTCTGCAGGCCAGAAGAGGGCACCAGACCTCATTCCAGATGGTTGTGAGCCACCATGTGGTTGTCGGGAATTGAACTCAGGACCTTTGGAAGAGCAGGCAATGCTCTTAACCACTGAGCCATCTCTCCAGCCCCTTCCATCTGATTTTTTAAAGACCATTTTATTTACCATTTTTTAATGTGTATGGGTGCTCTGCCTGCATGTAGGTCTGTGCACTATTTGTGTGCCTGGTCCCCTGAAGTCAGAAAGGGGCTTCAGATCCCCTAGAACTGGAGTTACAAAAAGTTGTGAACCTCTGAACCTCCATTTGGGGGCTGGGAATCAAAGGTCTTCTGCAAGAGCAGTCACTGTTGCCAGTCGGTGGTGGCACAAAATTTTAATCACAGCCAACCAGGGCTACACAGAGAAACCCTGTCTGGAAAAACAAACAAAAAAGAACAGGTAGTACTCGTAACTGCTGACTCCTTTCTCTAGTATTACATCTAGTACACCTCAGCTAGTACTCGTAACTGCTGACTCACCTCTATCCCTGGCCTCCAATTGTTTTTTTCCTTAGGGTTGGGGGGGTGTGTCGAGACAGGGTTTCTCTGTAGCTTTGGAACTTGTCATGGAGCTCACTGTGTACACCAGGCTGGCCTTGAACTGACAGAGATCCGCCTGCCTCTGCCTCCCAAGTGCTGGGATTAAAGGTGTGCACCACCACTGCCTGGCTAGCCTCCAGTTCTTGATTGATTTTACTACCTCAACCCCACAAAAGCTGGAATTATGGGGGGAATGTGCCACCATGGTCTGTTTGAATAGCTCAATGTGTGTGTGTTTGTATGTATGTTTCTGTGCATGCTAGGTGTATGCACACGCATATCTGCGTATGAAAGAAGCTGATTGGCATTGGGGATCTTCTTTGATTGGCCATCACCTTATTTTTCAGAAAAGCATTTATTACAGGTATTTGTTTTGTATGTTACATGTGTGGTCCCATGCCGACCAGAGCAAGCGAGTGAAGGTGGAGAATGTCTATCGTGTGGGTCTGGAAGTCCTACCTCGGGTCTGTAGGTCTATGTCGAATACCTTTACCTGCTGAGCTGTCTTGCTAGCTTGCCACCTTATTGTTTGAGACAGTTTTTCTCACTGAACCTGCGCTCACTGGTTTGGCTAGACTGACTGCCTCCCGGATCTGGGGCTGTCGTCTGGGAATCCGGACACAGACCTCACGTTTGTACAAGCACTCTACTCTCAAGAGCTAAGTTTAGGGAAGGCATTTGGAGAGGAGGCATGCCTAGCTTTGTTTAACGTTTTTTTTCCTAGACTGGGGATGGGGCATCATACTTTGAGTATCCTACCACTGAGCCATGCTCTTAGCTTTTGATATGGTGTTAAATTATCTTGTAATTCATCCGTAGTTTGTGGTTAAGTTTCTACTGCAGGTATGTGTGTGTTTGTATATTATTCATGACCATGTGTGTATCTGTGCTGACAAAAAATGAGGACAATACAAGCCACTATGAGGGGCAGTTCTTATTTCTAGTCCTACTAAATCACAGAGTTTGCATGGCCTGTGGGCGCTGTTAGCAGGCCTTGGTATCCCGTGTGTGTTTGTTTATAGACACGTCTGAAGGCCTCGGTATCCTGTGTTTATAGACAGTCTGAGACCCACTCACCTGAGCAGCTTCTGTCCCCACTTAGAGCGGCATCTGTTGAGGATTCCTGTGGGGTATGCATAGGGGTGAACTTGTTACAAGGAGGCCTAGATACAGGACACAAAGGCAGCCAAGTTAGGGCCTGGCCACAATTTGTGGCCTTGGATTATCATGGGAGGTTAGGAAAAGGGATGGATACTCAGCTAGGAAAACATATAAATGGACATAGCCACAGCTCACAAAGTCCAACACAATATGTAAAACTTAAACATAACGCAGTGAGAAACTGGACACTTGGAGCCGTGTCCTTAACTTACCCTAAAGCTTGAGGAACCAGATAAAAACTATACAAATCAGGTATATAACGCTCCTCTGTGAACAGAGGGGCATGCAGACAGAGCCGGAGACTGAACGTAGTATTGGATAGGGCACAGCCGACATGCAAATTACACTCCATGGCTAGGTGTAAAGAAGCTCAGGCTGAGAGTGGGCACAGTGACCGAGAGACCTGGGCTGGTTGGCCGGAAAGCAGGGAGAAGAGACTGTACACATCTCCAGTCAACTGCTTTTCTAGCAGGCTTTCCCAGCGTGGGGTGAACTATAGGGCACACCTACCAAAGAGGCTGAGCCCTTCCTTCAGTCCGCTGGCTACTTTGTACACGGAGGGGTGAGACTCGCTCTTGAAGATCTGCAGAACGCTGTCACAGAGAAATGAGGACGTCTGGACAGCTGCGCATGTGTGTACATATTTATTTGTCTCTCTATGTAGCCCCGGCTATGCTAGAACTCACTATGTAGACCAGGCTGGCCTTGAACTAGTGGAAATCCCCCTGCCTCTGCCTTCCAGTGCTGGGATTAAGGATGGGCCACCACAGCTGCCTGTGTACACATATTTGTGTGCAAATGCGCATGCTCTCACACGTATGTGCAGAGGCCAGAGGACACGGGAGGGGCTGTCCTCTTTCTCTCTGTCTTGTTCTCTTTTGAGGCAGGGCCTCTCATTGAACCTGGATAAGACAGCAGCCAGAGATGCCGAGCGCTTACATAAAACTCAGACCTTCAAACCTGAGTAGCCAGAGCTTTCGCTCACTGAGCCAGGTTCCCACTGGCATGGTAACGATTTTTTTTTTAAATAACAAAAGGAGCTGGGAATTGAGAAACTGTAATTTAAGTTCATAATAATTTTTTTTCTTTTGAGACAGGGTTTCTCTGTGTACTCTGTAGCCCTGGTTGTTCTAGAATTCACTATGTAGACCAGGCTGGTCTTGAACTTCCAGAAATCCTCCTGCCTCTGCCTGCCTCCTGAGTTCTGTGATTAAAGGCTCAAACCACCACCCCTGGCAATAATAATCTTTTTTTTTTAAAATATGTGTAGCCCAGGCTGGCCTCGAACTCATGATCCTGCTGCCTCTGTCTCCTCCAGCAAATTGTATGGGCATGAGGCACACACCACACCGGCAGCAATAATAACCTTGATGTGAGGTTTATTACTCACTTTTGTGTTTGCCTCAGCCTCTCCCCTTAGGAAGAGAAAATGAAAGCCAGGCTTGGCAGCTCACACCTTTAATCCAGCACTTGGGAGGCAGAGGCAGGTAAGTCTCTGTCGAGGCCAGCTTGGTCTATAGAGTGAGTTCCCGACAGCGGGCTGTGTTGAGACCCTATCTGGAAGGAAAGAGAGGAAAGACAGCCTGGAGTCATCACTTCAGGGAGCAGAAGGCTAGCCTGGCAGGCAGCACCCTCGGGTCCACCCCCAGCACTGAGGCCTTGAGCTTTAGTTTCTCCCTTCCCCCCTCCACCCCATCACCCTCTCCTTCTAGGAGAGAGATGTAACTGCCCCAGGATGAGAGAAACTAGAGCCTCCTTAGGATTATTAGAGCGTTAAGCTCAATCCTTTTGTTTCTGGAGGCAGTCTCCACCTCACCTGTAAGTGTCTTGATCTATGCTCACCAGATGGGTCCTGAGAACAGAAAAGAAACGTTCATTACACGCTCTGCTCCCTTGGCTCCTCTGTCAGTACTGTCCAATCTTCTCCCTGGTTCTCCCATGTGTCCTAGCATGGCTCCACTGTCCCCATCCCTCTCCTGTGTCTCCACTGCCCCCATCCCTCTCCCGTGTCTCCACTGCCCCCATCCCTCTCCCGTGTCTCCACTGTCCCCATCCCTCTCCCGTGTCTCCACTGTCCCCATCCCTCTCCCGTGTCTCCACTGTCCCCATCCCTCTCCTATGTCCAGCACATGTCTCCCACTCTTCCCCATCCCTGGCACCTGGCTTACTTCTTAGACCCCCAGTCCCTCTACTTTGGTTGAGGTTAGGGTGAATCACCTACAATACAAACTTCTTAAATCCCAGGATAGGTACGCTGACGTTATAATCTTCCAGTTCGACCCCAACTCTTCTCCGACTCAGGAACTTGAGCAGTCCTCCAAGTGCCCGGACCTGGGAAGGGATCGGCAGCAGAGCTGGAATAAAGCCTAACGTTCCAGAAGCTGGACGACACCAATACCAAGAGAACCTGTCATTTTCCAGGGCTGAGGCAGTCCAGTCCAGAATGTGGCCTGGGACTGGGAGCCCATGCCTTCCCCAGCTACTTCCCAGCCCTCACCCCAGTGACCCAGCTCACCGTGAGAACACAGTCAAAGGGAATAATGGAAGAGAGGAAAAGGATTTTCTCAGTAGCAGTCATAGACTCTGGGATGAAGGAGTAGTTTCCAGAAAGGAGACGCTGTTTGCTTATCTCTGGACCTATGGGGGGGTAAGGGGTGAAAGGTTTGATAACTCACTTGCTCACCCCAGTTTAACAAGAACAGAAGCAACCTCCAGCTTGCCCAAGTCCACAGACGTGGTTAAGGAAAGCTTGAGCAAGAAGCAGACATGCAGACTTAGTCTGACTTTTCATCTTTGTGTCATACAGATGTCTGGCTATACGCACAACCTGAGAGAGACAAGTGATGTCTGGGGCTGTACATTTTCTAGGTCAGAAAGATCTTATGATAAAGAAAAGAACAGTAAGTCCTGATATCTGGTAGGACAGAACATTCCCGTCCTGTTTGTAAGCCTTGGAGTTTGCAGCGTCTTATGGGTCAGGATCCCAGAAACATTGGCTTTCTTTTCTATGCGATAATGACTTTGGCTTACAGTGGGAACTCCAAGCGGCTGAAAGTGTGGTCACTCTGTCCTAAGGCACCTAAGCCAGCGACTTCTCAGTAAGTTGGGTTATTAATGACAAGGTACAGGAGAGATCCTGGGGACACGGTGACAGGCATGGGAAGTTGTTTGCAGGTAAGAGCAGACAGGGGAGGTCTCTGATACTGGGGTGAGATTAAGGGAAGGGACAGGGCCCCCGGGATGGGTATGATAAGATAAAAGGACCTACCAAAATCCACGCTAGGCAAAAGTACGATTTCGGGTCTCTTTGGCTCTCTCTGCTCCTGGGAGGCTGTGGGGGCAAAGGGCCACGGTTCTGCACATGACAGTCCTGTTGATGTCCCACGCTTCCTCCCAGCCAATTTGGCCTCCCGATACTCCACATTCCAGTAGTCTTTCCACTTCCAGTCTTTACGCGGCCCTTACCAAGCTTCCCCAGAAACCGAGCCATAGTCTCATCTTGTTTGGCACTTGTAATGACAGACCGGGGGTTGACTTCATCCAGAACTTGAAAAGAGAAGGGATCAACTGAGTCAGAGGAAAGTGGAAGCTCTCTTCTTGACACTGTTCCCCTCAGGAATTTATTTTCTCCACCAGGCATGGTGGCGCATGCCTTTGATCCTAGCACTGGGCAGACAAGCCAGTCTCTGAGTTTGAGATCAGCCTGGTCTACATAGTGGGTTCCAGGGATACAATATAAGACCCTGTCTCAAAAAAACCAAAACCAGGGGCTGGAGAGATGGCTCAGTGGTTAAGAGCATTGCCTGCTCTTTCAAAGGTCCTGAGTTCAATTCCCAGCAACCACATGGTGGCTCACAACCATCTGTAATGAGGCCTGGTGCCCTCTTCTGGCCTGCAGGGGTACGTGTAGGCAGAACATTGTATACATAATAAATAAATAAATATTTAAAAAAAAACCAAAACCAAAATAAAAGAATTTATTTTCTGTCTGTTAGGGAGTGCGCTGCGCACTGGGAGCATATTCTGGAATGAGATTTAGTGCAGTAGTAATACTCCAGGGGTGGAGGGAGGGACATGAGAGTGTCCTGGAAACAACCACTAGACTAGTCATGAGTTTGCCGGGGACTGAGTCTACAGCATTTAACACACAGCAAGAGCCTAATAAAAGCCGGGCGATGGTGGCGCATGCCTTTAATCCCAGCACTCGGGAGGCAGAGGCAGGTGGATCTCTGTGAGTTGGAGACCAGCCTGGTCTACAGAGCTAGTTCCAGGACAGGCTCCAAAGCCACAGAGAAACCCTGTCTCGAAAAAGCAAAAAAAAAAAAAAAAAAAAAAGAACCTAATAAAGTTGCATTGAATACTTCATTCTCCCAAACTGATGACTATAAAGTAGATTAAGGTCACATAAGGACGTATGAGTGAACACGCTCCCAAACCCAGAGCAGAGGAATGAAGGGTTCTGTCCCCACCTCTCTGGAGAAGCTTCAGGCTCTCGTGGTCTGGGGCATCTGGCATGAAGTGGACAGTGGAGTCACTAGTGTCATAGTAAGCAATGCCCAGAGAGCCCGAACTCCACAGCACGCACAGGTGGACCTGCCCCGCGAGGAGAGGAGATCAGTATCTGAACCCCGGGGAGGGCAGGCTTCCCGTCCTCCCGGCCCGCTCCTCCGAGACCTCGGCCGGCTCCTCGTCCTCCTCCTCTTCCTCGAGACCTCGAGGCCCCGGCATTGGGGCCTGCGGGCTGGGGAAGCTGGCCGAGGGCATCCCGGGTGCGGGGCCCGGCGGCGTCGGGCCAGGGGTGGCTCTGAAAGCCATGGGCTCGGCGACTCTGAGGACCTGGGATGAGGGGAGCTTCAGAGGCGACGTCTCCCCGGGTGGCCGGGTGGGGACACTCGGAGGCCACCCTTCGGAAGGTCTGCAGGCGCGAGCTGTCACTGTCAAATCTCCGCTTCCGCCCCCCACAGGGCCGCCCACTCGCGGCGTTTTCCCGCCTTTTTCGTCGCCTCAGTCGCGACAATCTACCTCACTGACCAACGGCCGCCAACTGGGGAAGGGCGAGCCCGTCTGCGGGCGGGGGGGCGGAGCCGCGCTCGCCACGCCCCCTCTTCGTCGCTACTGGCTGGAGGCGCCTGCCTAGCTATCCAATAGGAAGAGAGGGCGTACGCTGCAGCGCGGGAGGGAAGAGTCTAAGCGCTGATTGGTCTGTTTACAGCGGGGGCGGTGCCGGCGTGTTCAAAATTCCCGCCTCTGCCGTTGCTAAGCAGCCGGGCTTTGATTGATGCCGGGCGGAGCCCGCCAGAAGGTCGCAGGGCCAGCCTGGAAAAAGGGTCTGGGCGGTGGGGAAGGGCTGGGGCCGGAAGGCCGACCTTAAAGGGCCAGAAGCGGGGCTTCCCCCTCCCTGGAGAGGGGAGGGAGGCGGCGTTGACTCCGGCCAAGCCAGCAGCCACAACTCTGTTAATATTTGTACCCACTAAGTTAATATTTATAAAGAACTCGGAACGCTGTCTAGCCAACAAAGGAAGCGCTACATGAGTGTTTTAAATAAATAAGCGGAAGTAAGAACCAGCTCTAACTTCAGCCAGACTTTGCCTGTTCGCTGAATGCACCCTGAATGCAGGGGATGACCACCCCCCCGCGAGAGCACCACAGGGCCTGGTTATTTCTGGACCTCCGAAGAGGAAGTGCAAGTGTCTGAATGCACTTCACCCTGAAAGCAGACCTAGTTACATCACATACACCCCTATCGGTTGGCGCCCTTACCACAGTCCACTCACCCCTAAGGAGACTGGGCATCATGATTCCTCCATGATAGGGCTGCATGGGAAGGAAGGAAGCCTTCAAGGATGGCTCATGGGGAAGATCGCCTTAAATTCCAGCCCCAGGACTCATACGGTATGAGAAAACGGACTCCCAAATTGTCCTCTGACCTCCACACCTACGGCTTGTGCCCTTGCACACACACACAATATAAGTACATAATTTAAAAACTGTCCCAGCAATCCTGCCTGACGTCCAGCGAGATGGTGTGAGGTGACCTGGCTCTGCCGGTCAGTGACTGGCCAATTCTCTCCACGGGGAAGGTGGGAGCAGAGTTAAGGCTGGGTTAATGGTTACCCGTGGCAAACTGTTGTGCAGTGGAGCTATAGAAACCTCGAGGAGGTTGGTGACAGCTCTGAGGAGTGGCAGGGAGGGACACGCCTTCCAATCTGGGGTGTGAAGAGATTAGGGACTGAACTGGCTACCAAGACAAGGAAGGCATTGGACACAGAAAGAGAAGCTGGTGAAAGAGAGAAAGGGGGCACAGAGATGACATGGGAGTGAAAATATTTCTGCTGCAGTCCTGGCTTCGGATCCAGGAAGCACCCCTGGGAGGTCCTAGGAGAGAGCAGCCTGAAAATTAAGGCAAGCTAACTTGAGGGTAGCAATCCGGGCAGCCACAGTCAATACTGGTGATCAGGGCAGCTGTGGCTATAAAGGCAGGGGCGGAGCGAGGCTGTCAAACCTGTTTGAGACTAACTATAGCTTCGCCCGCCCGTGGAGAGAGCTCTGCTGGGCCAATGCCTGGTGGTCACTGATCAAGTGGGGAAAAGGGAAGAGTCTGGGACAGAAGGCTTCTCTGAAACTACCTTTCCCAGTCCCTGTGCAGATTCCGAGGGTCAACATGATGGAAATGCCAGTCTATATCTTATCTAAGGCCCAAATACTAAGTATCTTCTGCCTTTCTGGGGAGGAGAGAGAAATGCCTGCCTTCTCTGGGGAGGAGAAAGCCCCTGAGAGGAAGCTAGGGGAAGCCACTAACTGCTGGTTTCCAGCAACACATGCCCCTCTCACCCTCGCCCTCCAGCCTCTTTCAGCAGCGTCCAGCCCAGTTTTGCTTCTAGGTCTTTCCGCATCCTGCATGCTTTTCTCCAAATGGAGATCTTTTTTGAGCAGACAGTGAGTAGAAAAGAAAAAGGATGAGTGGACAGTAGAAACTCAGAGCAGAGAGGCTGGTATATTGGCAGACATAGTTTAGATTTTTTTAATAGATAGTAAAGTTAGATAGCAGCTCCAAAATCAGGCCCGTCAGTTACTTTTCTTCTCCCTATGTTACTTAGATAACACTAAGTAACGCCACTCACACTGGTCTGTCTGACCTTTGCTTTCTTCTCTGATAGAACAAGCCGATACCCCACCCATCCCAGGATGAGCCAGTGTTATCCCAGTGCCAGGACAACCCCGTCTCCAAGGCAACCTTTACCAGTGAGAGGAGGGTAAGGGGCCCGGGATGGGGAAGTCTAAGTATTGACAGGCGTCCAGAGGACCGCCCCCTGCGGCGAAGCCTGGGCTCAGCTTCCTGTTTCCCTCGAGTTGGGCCTCTCGCTGGGTCTCTCCCAGCCCACGCCTTTCACCAACCCACATTCCCAACCTCAGTATCTTTTTCCATATCACACAGGCATGCACACGCGTGCACACACAGGGCAGAGTCCTAGCAAACCAAAAGACAGGCTGGAACTAAAAAGAACTCCCTTACATCCTCCATCCTCAAACCCCATTTCTGCACCTTCGTGGGCAGTTCGTCAGTGTCAAGGTTCCCTGTGGGACAGTGAGCCACCCTTCTCATTAATGAAGCGAGGAAACTGAGGCACAAAAAAGGTGCAGTGTTCAGGAGAGGTCAGAAAATCAAGGCCACCCCCCTCCCTCCTAACACCCTGCCTTATCCTGGTGGTCCCGGAGGCCTATGTCTATGTCCCCGACACACTCCCACGACCCTCGAGTCCCTCCATCTCGTGTCCCAGACCCACAAGTCCCTCCCTGTCCTGTCCCCGACACACTCCCACGACCCTCGAGTCCCTCCATCTCCTGTCCCCGACCCACGAGTCCCTCCCTCTCGTGTCCCCGACCCACTCCCACGACCTTCAAGTCCTCCCTCTCGTGTCCCCGACCCACTCCCACGACCCTCGAGTCCCTCCCTCTCCTGTCCCAGACCCACTCCCACGACCCTCGAGTCCCTCCCGCTCCTGTCCCCGACCCACTCCCACGACCCTCGAGTCCCTCCCCCTCCTGTTCCCGACCCACTCCCACGATCCTCGAGTCCCTCCCTCTCCGGTCCCCTCCCCAGGCTCAGGGCGGGGCCGGCCGGTGAGTCAGCTGCTCCCTGAGCTAAACGGGAGGGACCCGAGGTGGTTAGAAGCTGGGTGTGGGGTGCACCGGGCCGGTGGGAAGCCGTGTCCGAGAGAAGGAAAGGGTTTGATCGGACTTGGGTTGCGCCGAAGGGACAGGATCCCCCGACTGGTGAGACCCGCCTTCCCTGGTCCCGGCCCCTCCCAGTTCCCCCAGCGACGGCTGCTTCCTGGTCCCCGACGCAACCATGGCCGAAGAACAACCTCAGGTCGAACTGTTCGTGAAGGTAAGAGCACCTCTTTCTTTGGCGACCCTCAGAATTTCTGCAAGCCAGTCCTCCCCTTTCCTTAGCTCCATCTCTCATGCCCCAACCCCTTTCCTCGCTGACCCCACCCCCATCCCCGGTGCTATCTGGCTGGGTTGCTGGGGGAGGGGGTGACTTGTGAGACAGTAATGAGAGTTCTGGACTCGCCCTGAAAAGTTTGTAGAAGAGGTTTCCAGCAGCCCAAAGGGGAGAAAGTGGACAAAAGGGGGTTTTCAGGAGTGAGAGAGTGGGCGGGGTATGGTGTGGGGTCCAGGGGTCCAGACGACCTAAGGACCGAGAAAGGGACAGTGGCCGGGTTTGAGAAGGTCAGAGGAGAATCGGCTAGGACATGTGGCCCTAAGAAAGAAAGAAAAATAGGACACACACACACACAGAGAGAGAGAGAGAGAGAGAGAGAGAGAGAGAGAGAGAGAGACTGGTAAGACGGAAAGGCGCTCTCAGGAAGCAGCACCCTTGGGCTGAGGGAAGCCAGAGAAGGCAGGAAGGACATCAAAGTTTAGTAATCATTACTGATGAAGATGGGGCCAGGAGACCCCCTGGATTGGGTGAAAATGCCGGGCTGATGGGTGTGGAAGAAAAAGCACCCCTCCCTCTGTGGGTGTGGTCAAGGAGAAACGGGTCTCGCTTTTGGGTTTGGAAACCAAACCGCTGGCTGCAGCCCTCCTCGCCCACTCGGGCCTGTGCCCTCCAGCACCTGCCCCTCCCCGTCCTGGGAGTCTGTCTCCCTGGTGTGCCTTCTCCCCACCTTCCGCTTCTGGGGCCTTCCTTTTCACCACTTCCCCCCATCGTGTTCATCTTGTCGGTGTGTCTTGCCTGTGTGTCGGTTGTATCCTGCCTATGTGTTGGTGTGTGTTCTGTTTCTCCTTTTCGCTGGGGTTTCCCTGGCAGCCGGTCCCACTTTCTTGGCCCGGGGAAGTCAACTGAAGCCTAGGCCCGCCCCTTAGGTGTGGTCCCCTCCTCACATTCGCCTCCAGGGGCTGTTTTTACTCCTGGGTGTTGTGGTGCTGTAGAGATTCTGGCCCTACGGCCTGTGAGGGGACCTTGGAGAACCAGAGCCACGAATTAGGTGGGCCAGTAGAGAGAATGAAGGTTTAGGAAACTATAAGGGTGGCCCCAGCTGCCTCGGCCTCTCTGTATAGGTCCCTGCCCCCACTTCCTTGCCAGGAAGGAAGCTGCAGATGCCTGAAGACACAGAGATGAATCACCCTCAGTCTAGGGGGGAGGTGTCCCTTGGGGGATGAGGTCACCTGCATCCAATTAGAGAGTGCCCCCTTTGCTAGGCCCTCCATATCTCTCAGGTGAGGTCTAGGTCCTCTTGAGTGCCCGCCCAGCTTCCTGAAACAGCTTGGATAGAGGTTCATTGAATGGGGACCCTGGTTTCTCAAAG